ACAGATAGATAAAGAGGTAGTATTGTTGTCAACATACTGCATACAAGTTTAAAAGCCAAGCAGCTCTAAGACGTGACACTCACAATCCCGTTCCTACCCAAGGCCCCCAAACCACACTGTCTCATCTGTGCACCCGTATCTTTCTGAACTATCTGGGTAGCTGAGTTTTTGTTTGAGACGGAGTCTTGCTCTGTCGCCCAGGCTGGAGTACAGCAGTGCGATGTCGGCTCACTGCAACCTCTGCCTCCCAGGCTCAAGTGATTCTCATGCCTCAGCCTCCAGAGTACCTGGGATTACAGGTGCCCACCACCATGCCTAGCTAGTTTTTGTATTTTTATTAGTGATGGGGTTTTGCTATGTTGGCCAGGCTAGTCTTGATCTCCGGACCTCAAGTGATCCGCCCACCTCAGCCTCCCAAAGTCTAGGATAACAGGTAGCTCCGTTTTTTGGAAGCTCCCCCGAGGACTCAAGGTGGGAGCTGAGTGCCCAGGTGGGGACAGGTACGCAGAGCACACGCACGACAAGAGGCCGGAGGGAAACTGGCCCCAGCCCTCCTAACACAACATCCAGAAGCAGCTGCACCAGCCCACAGTGCTAAGGGTTCTGGGGCCCAAACAAGGGCCTTGTGTTCCCCTCAGCCTGTCAGCAGAGAAAGCTGCGCCACACTGGCCCACGCCAGGGTGTCACCAGGCGGCTGGCTGAGCGCCAGGAAATGACCTGCAGCTGGCCCAGGGCAGCAGCCACAGAGGCAATGGCCATTCTCTTCTCCCACGTCCACAGACAAGGCTCCATTCTTTTCTTCCTCAGTCCCCTCAGCCCCAAGCACAAGCTTAGAGGAAGACTAGATGGCTGATGAGCCACAGAAACTGCTGGAACAAAGCCCTGCTCACAGAGCAAGAGGCCGAGACAGGCCGGCCGCCCCTCCCTGCTCTCTGGCTGTGGTGAGCAGCCGCAGGCCGAAGCCCCAAGCTCTGTTCCTTCTCACACCACGCTCCGGCCACCACCTAGAGCAGTGGAGACATCCACTTTCTGCCAAAAACCCTGCCCGGCTGAGGAGCACAGATCCTGGTCTAGCACCAGCAAGAGGTGCCTCCTACCTGGGGCCCCGCAGAGGGGCAGGCTTGGCTGAGGTGGGAAGCCCGACCTAGGCCCCACCGCGTCGCTGTCCGAAGGAGGCTGGGCCTCATCCGTGCTGGGCAGAATCTTGGTCTCAGCCCCAACTGGGGTCCCTGTCCCTTTACCCTGGGAGGTCTGAGGGGCGTCCCCAGGGTTCCACCCTCGGTGCTGGGGCAGCCGTGGCGCCGTCTCCTTGTCCCATGGCCACTTGACCGCCAGCGCACTGTCCAGCAAGAAGGCTTTGCAGCTGGAGCTGGTGTCCATGGTGTAGTCGTGGCCCTGGTCGCAGCCCCACACGGCCTGGATGACGCCGCAGTACTCAGAGGACAGTGTCCTCTGAAGGTGGGGCAGGGCCCTGCAGCTGGCCGCGTGTCCGTGCACCCATCCCACCAAGCCGTGCAAGCACTGGGGGCTTGATGTGATCAGATCCACTGCAGAGAGTCAACAGAGATGTCAGCTCCACGGCTGGTGGGCACCCAGCCCACCCTCCACCGGGGGAGGACTCACCCAGACACGCTCCCTCCTCTGCCCCTGCTGGGAGCTGGGCACCGACCCTGCAAAGGATCAGTGTGGCCATGAGCAGGACAAGCAGGCGCAGGTTCACAGCGCGTGTGGTACAGGACCCTCTCAAGGTCTCAAACCTCAGCGGTCCCCATAGGTAACCACCTCTTCCCTCACCCCAGCTCCTCCCAGTTCGTCTCTCCACACCAATCCCAGGGCTATTCACACCGAGCCTGGGCATGGCCCATTCCCGCCACCCAGAGGCTGCCGCCGAGGCATGCCCTGTCCCTCTCTCAGCAGCCGTCGCGCTGCAGTGCTGACAGCCTGAACGTGCCCTCAACAGACTCGGGCGTACTTTGCACAAGGCTTCCGGCGACCCGTCGGGGAGACGTTGACCCTCTGCAGGAAGGACCTGAGGAGGCTGTGGCACTGGTAGAACTGGGCGTGGCAGCTCTTGCAGACAAACTGCGATAAGGTGGGGTCCTGGCGGACAGCCACCCCCAGCAGGCGCTGGAAGTCCCTGACGAGCACGCGCTCCTCCGCGGACGGCCTCTCCACGCTCGCTCCCGGCGCCGTCTCAGAGATGCCGCGCAGGCTTCTCGAGGAGAACTTCCCGTGGCAGAGGCGACAGTGACCCATGGCGAGAGCCCGGCCTGCTCCTGCACAGAGCGGCAGAAAGTGTCAGCAGCCGGCAAAGGCGGCGGCTCCCGAGCCCGGGGCGTCCCGGACTCCAGCTTCGAGGGCAGCGCCTGCATCGCCCTCCGCGCGGCCCCCGGACACAGCAAGCGGCTCTAGGCGCGACAAGCCGCCCTGTGGGGGATGCGGCCGCTGGTCCAAGCAATCTTTCAAATTTCAAAGGCCTCTGAAAGCCTCCCAGCGAAACCGCTTCACGAGTGAAACCTGGAACTGCACCCTCCTCCCAGCGACCGCGAGACCCGGGGACGGCGCTGCGCCCTCCAGGAAACGCCGCGGTTTCCTGTCTGCCAAGTGCAGGTGCCGCCTCCTTTCCTGCGCCCGGAGAACACGAAGCCGGAGAGGGCGAGTCCCACGCGCGGGCGCCCAAGGGCGACCTGCCCGCGGTGACAGCGCTCCTCACGCCGGGTCCCTTCTGACCGAGCCCGCGGCCGGGGAGGCCGGGCCGGCGACGCCAGCGCCACGGAGCGCGGGGAAAACCGAGCCGGCCGCCCAGCGCCTGTCCAGACGCAGACCCGAGTCCGCTGCGCGCTCGGCCGGGTGGAGGGGAGGCCGCGCCGCTTCCGGGCGTCAGTGCAGCTCCGCCCACGCGCGGCCCCCGCCGCGACCCCCGCCCGCCACGCCCGGGCCGTGGACCCACCTGCCTCGTCCACGCCGTCCTCGCCCGCGTCCCCGCAGTGCCCAACCGGGCCCCAGGCGCGCCGCGCCGTCGCCCCGTCCACCCTCGACCCGCCGCTGAGGGAAGGGCGGCCCCGAGCACGGCCGCCGCCGCCGCCGCCCGAGGCCCCGCGCTGCCGGGCCGCCCCAGGGGACAGGAAGCGGCCCAGCCGGTCCCGCTTCATGGCAGCGGAGGACGCCAGTAGAACCCCGCGGGTGCTGCCCGGCCCCGCTCGGCCCGGCTCGAGGTTCCTGGAGGACCCGGCGTTCGGCTCCGCTCGGCGCGCTGGAAGGGAGGCGGGGCGGGCGGGGGGCGGAGCGAGAAGCAAAGCGAGGCGGGCGGGGCGGGCCAGGGGCCAGGGGCCAGGGGCGGGACCCCGCGGCCGAGGTTCCACGCGCGGTCCCAGCGCCCCCGCTCGTCCCCGCTCCCCTCTCCGGCCCGAGGGCGGCCGTGCCCGCCGCTGCCGCCAATGGAGCGCTGGCCTGGGGCGGGGCGCTGGGCGGAGGGGCTCGCCGAGACCTCACGACGAGCCCTCCAGGGAGAGGCGACGCGGCCCTCCCCGCCTCTTACCGTGAGAGACGGAGGCGCGGGGCGGGCAGGCGCCGGCGGAGGCCACGCGGCGCGGAGGTGGCGGGCGGGCTGCAGAGGGGACGGGGGCCGGGGTCTCACGTAGACACGGGCCTGGCTGCCGCGGTTAGACGCCCTTGGCAACTCCGTGAGGGGCCCTTCCCGCCAGCCCCCTCTAGAGACGGCGAAGGGGCCCGGCCCCGTCGCGACAACCCGCCCTAGCTCTGCCACCCCCGCCACTAACACCCGTGGGGCCCGAAGTACGCGCGGAGGGGGCCCGTCGCCGGAAGTGCGGCCGCGTCCCTTCCGGCGGTCCGCTGCTCGGGCGGCTCCCGCACCCGCGCCGGTTGCGTTCCGGGCTCCCGGGCGCCCGCCCCGCCCCTCGGCTACCGCCGCCGCCTCCCCCGCCCGGCGCCATGGCCGCTGCGGCCGGGGACGGCACGGTGAAGCCGCTGCAGAGCGCCATGAAGTTGGCCAACGGGGCCATCGAGCTGGACACCGGCAACCGGCCCCGGGTGAGGCGGGGCGGGGGCGGGGCTTGGCCGCCGAGGGTGGCCCCTGGAGGGACCCCCGCCCCGGGAGGGCGAGGACTGGGCCGGCTCGGGCTGGGGACGCGGGGGCAGGCGCCAACGGGGACCCCCCGCGGTTCCCGGGCGAGGACGGGGGCGGGGCGCAGCCGGGCGTGCAGTGACCTTGGACAGCTCAGATCCTGCCGGCCTCGGCTTTGCAGTCCGCTCGCTGAGCCGGCGCATGAGAACCTGGGCTCCAGCTGTGGAGGAGATGCAGCGGGAGAGTCCCCAGGCCACCTTCCAAAACCCGTGTGACGAGCAGGTCCATGCGTTCGTGCACTTTTCTGGGCAGAGATGGTAGATTTAATCCGGTTGCCACAGGGGACGGAATCCAGAGAAGGCCACATGCCCGCTCGTTTGTGAGACTTTCCAGTCGCCTTAGGAAGGAAAAGCAGGCCGGAGGGGTGTGGCCCGTTTCTGAGATGGGGCCGAATCTAAGGTTGGCGACCAGGTAGAGAAGCCGGCTCAGCCACGCCCGGCTGCCCACGGAGGGAAGGAGCCTGCCTGTGCCTAGGAGAGGCCTCGTTCCTGAATCTGCCGCTTTCCCCAAGTTGGTTTTTAGGGCAGCAGGTGCCCCCGCAAGTCAGAAATCCTGCCGGGATTGTATTTTGTCTTTTTCTCTGAGGCGTAGATTTAAAGATAGGTAACTTAACAGCTGGGGATGAAACAAACACACCATATTGCTGGGCGCGGTCGCTCACGCCTGTAATCCTAACACTTTAGGAGGCCTAGGCGGCAGATCACCTGAGGTCAGGCGTTCGAGACCAGCCTGGCCAACGCGGTGAAACCCCGTCTCTACTAAAAATACAAAAATTAGCCAGGCGTGGCAGTGCACACCTGTAATCCTAGCTACTTGGGACGCTGAGTAGGAGAATCACTTGAATCCGGGAGGCGGAGGTTGCAGTGACTCGAGATCCTGCCACTGTCCTCCAATCTGGGCAACAGAGTGAGACTCTGTCTCAACAAAACAAACCACCATACTGTGGTTCCGATGACCTGCACCTTGTCAGAGGGGTCACACGGCCTTGAAACGTAACAGTCACATGTTCTAGGCTCCTGTGTACACTGGGAATACATAACTCAGGGGTTCTGGGAAAGGGATTTCTCAGAACTTAAGCCGGGAAGTGATTTGAAAACTTCCAGTATCACTCCCTCTATCCTCTCAGGAAGTATTTTTTTTAAGCCACTGAGTGAATCACCCTTGAGTTGCACAAGAAGGAAACGCCGCATAGAGTGAAAAATGACAGCAAACTGCTGAGGTCACTTCCCCAGGCCCACTGAATGAGAACATCAGTTCCTGTGCTGGAGAGAAAGGCAGTGAGAGGAGAAACTGAGGTCCAGCTCGTCCCTGGCTCTCTCTCTCTCTCAGGTTCTGATGTGTTTTCCAAGTCTGCAGAGCAGTGATGCTGCCTGTGCCCCAGGCAGAAAACCGTGTTCCGGCTGCAGCCAACCACTGCAGGCTCAATGTCTCTGGTGTATCTCAGAGATACGCAGGTGGTGGGTGTTCCTGGCTTATCCCACAAGGGGACCCGGAAGGAATGATGGAGTCACTTCCCTCCACAGGCCTGACCCCACTGTTCTCTTTCCTGGACACAGGAGGCATACACAGAATACCTGAGGACCATCCACTATATCTCCCAGGCGTTACTGGAAGAAGTGGAAACCACTAAAGGTACGGCTCAGCCGGCCGGGCGCAGTGGCTCATGCCTGTAATCCCACCACTGTGGGAAGCAGAGGCGGGCGGATCACCTGAGGTCAGGAGTTCGAGACCAACCTGGCCAACGTGGCGAAGCCCCGTCTCTACTAAAAATACAAAAAGTAGCTGGCCGTGGTGGCGGGCACCTGTAATCACAGCTACTCGGAAGCGTGAGGCAGAAGAATCACTTGAACCCAGGAGGCGTAGGCTGCAGTGAGCCGAGATCACCCCATTGTACTCCAGCCTGGGCAACAAGAGCGAAACTCCTCAAAAAAAAAAAAAAAAAAAAGTCATGGCTAAGGCCTGCTGCTCCCTCCACGTTGGACAAATTGTGGGCAGCCTAGGTCGGGCGCGGTGGCTCACGCCTGTAATCCTACTACTTTGGGAGGCCGAGGCAGGCGGATCACAAGGTCAAGAGATCGAGACCATCGTGGCTAACACGGTCAAACCCTGTCTGTACTAAAAATACAAAAAAGCTGGGTGTGGTGGCAGGCGCCTGTTGTACCAGCTACTCGGGAGGCTGAGGCAGGAGAATGGCGTGAACCTGGGAGGCAGAGCTTGCAGTGAGCCAAGATCACACCACTGCACTCCAGCCTGGGCGATGGAGCCAAACTCCATCTCAAAAAAAAAAAAAAAAAATTGTGGGCAGCCTAGCCATTGATGAGTGCCAGGCTTCAGGGGGGTCTCCTGTATCCTTCTAGCCTGACCATCTGTAGCAGGTAGACCGGCCCACACTCAGTGTGATATAGTGGCAGGAAGGGATGAGTGTTGTGGGTAAGAGGATGGAGATTGGGGTGTGGCAAGACACTGGGTCCAGTGAGTGGCACAGAGGTGGGGCAGCATTCCAACAGTGGGGTGTGCAAAGGCCCTGAAATAGGAGTGGGTGGGGTGGGGCTGTGTGCATGCCTTGGGTGGAACTGGGGCTGTTCTGGTGTGAAGGGAAACTTGAAGAGGCTTTGAGGGAGAGACCAGCCTGGAAGCAGAGCCTCAGGTGAGGACTGAGGATGGCAGTGGCCGGACCACCCAGGATGGGAGCAGTAAACGGTCTGGAGATGTGTCCTGAGGGTGGAACAGAACAGACTTGCAGGAGGCACATGGTGACAGGAGCAGACTGGCGAGGGGGAGAACAGAAAGTTCCATGATGAACACATTAAGTTTGAGGGGGCCACCAGCCACTGGACATAGGAGCGCAGAGGTCAGGTGGAGCTAACAGTTGCCCCAGCTCCCTAGGGAGCCAGTGAGCTCAGCTGAGCTCTGGCGCTCCAAGATTGAGGAGTTGGGTGGAGGAGTGGCAGAGGATCCCCTGGGGAGAGCAAAGTCCCAGAAGACAGAGGAGCGCCTGTGGCCCACCATATCTGGCAAGGTGGGGATGGGTAAGGGCAGTTTCCGAAATCAGGGCCAGATAAGAAAATGGGAGTCTGTGAGAAGTTTTCTGTGAAAGGCAGCAGGGAGGTGGGTCAGGCGCTGGGGCAGTGGGTCCAGGGGTGAGTCACAGAGGCAGCTCCCACGTGTGCAGAAGGGCTGCGTGAGCAGGCCCGTGGTCACCTGCAGAGGTGCTCCATGCCAAGCCTACAGGAAGGCAGGACTTTAGGGACACAGCCAGTAGGAGACGGGTGAGGCAGTTCCCCTCAGCACGTCCTTGTCTCTGTAAAACAGCCACTTCCCATTTAGGGTCTAGGCTCTGACAGGCCTTGATGAGGGACACACAGACTTAGCAGGCTCAGGAGGCAAAACCAGGGCAGATGATTAGAGATGAGTGGGTGGGGGGGCTTGCCCGGGGTCCACGGTGGGGCAGGGGGCTTGCCTGGAGTCCACGAGGGATAGTCAGCTTGCCCGGGGTCAGTGGGGAGTGGAAGGGGCAGTCGGCTTGCCCAGGGTCCATGGGGGGCAGTGGGGGATTGGGGGGGCAGTGGGCTTGCCCGGGGGCAGGGAGGGGTTGGGGGGCAGTGGGCTTGCCTGGCTTTTCCATTGCCTCATTTTATCTCAGCAATAGGTAACGGTGATAGAGCCAACTGTGACCAGCCTTCTTGTCCCTCCTCCAGAAGCTAGGGAGACTGTGCCCCCGGACACCTCCAAGATGCTGAAGCTAGCACAGCAGTGTCTGGAGAGGGCCCAGTCAACGGCCACCAAGCTTGGTGGGTCTCCTGCAGTAGGCGGCTCTCCTGGGGCATCCCCCAAGCCTGCATCTCCTCTGTGGGATGTGGGCCCACCGCTTGACCTCTGGCTGCCAATGGCTTGCAGGGAAAACACGCCTGAAGGCAACCATGCCTGCCGCTGCTCCCATCCCCCAGCCTGCTGGCAGACACCGCCGCGTCTACTCCGACGAGGGAGGGAAGCTCTCTCCTTTTCTGCCACCCGAGATCTTCCAGAAGCTTCAGGGGGCAGAGTCACAAAGCTCTAAGAAGTAAGATGGGCAAGACGGGAGTTGGGCTGAGCCTGGGATTGGGTTTTTGAGGCTGAGGAAGATGAGGTGATCACAGTGAATTTTTTAAAATGGGTCCCGGAATGGGAATATCCTCTTGCCTGATACAGCCAAATGCAGGCTGGGCACGGTGGCTCACGCCTGTAATCCCAGCACTGTGGGAGGCCGAGGCGAGCAGATCACCTGAGGTCAGGAGTTCCTGACCAGCTTGGCCAACATGGGGAAACCCTGTCTTTACTAAAAATACAAAAATTAGCTGGCTGTGGTGGCGTGCACCTGTAATCCCAGCTACTTGGGAGCCCTCAGTCCGGGGATCACTTGAAGTCCTGGAGGTGGAGTTGCAGTGAGCCGAGATCACGCCATTGCATTCCAGCCTTGGGCAAAAAGAGGCCAAAACGCCATCTCAAAAAAAAAACAAAAAGCCGGGCGCGGTGGGCTCAAGCCATGTAATGCAGCACATGTTGGGAAGGCCAGACGGGCGGGATTCCGAGTCCAGAGCTGAGACCCATCCCTGGCATCACGGTGACCCGTCCTACTCACTACAAAAACTTAGCCCGGGCGAACCGGTGGCGCGCCTGTAGTCCAGCCTCCCGGAGCTGCGGCCCGGGATGCGTGAACCAGGAGCGGAGTTTGCAGTGCTGAGATCCGGGCCACCGCACTCCCACCTGGCGCAAGCGAGAAATCCGCCTCAAAAAAAAAAAATTAGGCTAGTGGTGGGTCGCCTTGGTAGTCAGCTACTAGGGAGGCTGAGTGGGACGGGTGGACTCCACTTGGAGCCTGACAGGTTGAGGGTGCAGCCGTATGTCCAGTGACTCAGCCTGGGCAACAAACGAGACTCTAATAAAAAAAATTAGCTGGAAACAAGATTAAGATTACACATATATGTCTAGTACATGCCATACGTAAAAAGTGAGGCAGACAAGTTTATAGCTAGAACTAAGCTGACGAGCAAATTTCATGTATTGGAAAAGGCAAAGATATCCAGAATGATCACAAGAAACAAAAAATAGACAGAAAACAAGAGATGGCGCTGGGCCGCGGTGGCTACGCCCTGTATTTCCAGCCAGCTTTGGGAGCAAGGCGGGCGGATCCAAGTCAGGGTTCGAGACCAGCCTGGCCAATTACTGGTGAACCCTGTCCTTCTAACAATACAAAATGGCCGTGGCCGCGGTTGGCTCCAGCCTGTATCCAGCACTTTGGGAGCACGAGCACGGGCGGATGGAACGAGTCAAGGAGATCCGAGACCATCTGGCTAAGCACGTGGAACCCGTCTCTACTAAAAAAACATACAAAAAACTAGCGGGCCGAAGGGTGGCGAGGCGCCTGTTAGTCGCTACTTCGGAGCTGAGGCCAGAAATGGCCTAAACCCGGGAGGCACGAGCCTGCCGTGAGCTGACGATTCCGGCCACTGCACCCCCACGCCTGGGCGACCGAGCGAGAGTTGTCCTCAAAAAAAAAAAAATAGCCGGGCGTGGGTGGCGGTGCCTGTAGTCCAGCTACTAGGGCAGGTTTGAGGCAGGAGAATCGCTTGAACCCAGGAGGCGGAGGTTGCCATGAACCTAGATCATACCAGTGCACTCCAGCCTGGGTGACAGAGTGAGACTGTCACACACACAAAAAAAGAGAGAGATGGAAAGCCTCACGTGTTCTTTCAGTTCCAGAAAGAAAATGGGAGAGAGGCATTATTAGACGTTAGAATGGCAGACAGTTGTCTAGAACATCATGATGAAAAATACAGACACAAATGCAAAAAGCCCAATGAATCCCAAGTGGGAGAGACAAGAAGGGCCCACTCTGTCCCTGCTGTGGTGGCGCCTGGCTTCCCAGTCACCTCGTTTCTGCAAGTGTGGCTTCAGGGCAGGGTGGCCAGGAGCCAGGCTCTGTCTTTCCTCCTCCTTGTCCCCACCACCACCCTCTACTGTCCCTGACAGTGGGAAGGTAAGAGGGACGGAAGCTTTCGAGGTGGAGCGGCTGTTAGGAACTGTCTAAAGGAGGCAGAACGCTTCTTCCTTTCACGGGTCACAGACTGTTCTAGCCGTTTGACCCATATAGTGCCTTTAAAGCAGGGGTGTCCAATCTGTTACCTTCCCTGGGCTGCGCTGGAAGAACTGTCTTAGGCCACACATAAAATACATTAACACTAACGATAGCCGATGAGTTTTTTAAAAAAATTGCAAGTCCGGGCTCAGTGGCTCATGCCTGTAATCCCAGCACTTTGGAAACCCAAGGCAGGCGGATTACCTGAGGTCACGAGTTCAAGATCAGCCTGGCCAACATGATGAAACCCCCATCTTTACTAAAAACTATAAAAATTAGCTGGGCATGGTGGCACACACCTGTAATTCCAGCTACTTGGGAAGCTGAGGCAGGAGAATCACTTGAACCCAGGAGGCGGAGGTTTCAGTGAGCCGAGATTGTGCCACTGCACTCCAACCTGAGCAACAGAATGAGACTCTGTCTCAAAAAAACAAACAAAAAAAATTGCAAAAAAACAGGTTTTTTTTGTTTTATTTTTTGAGACACAGTCTCTGTCATCCAGGCTGGCATGCAGGCACGTGCTACCACGCCCGGCCAATTTTTGGTATTTTTAATAGAGACTGGGTTTCACCATGTTAGCCAGGATGGTCTCAATCTCCTGACCTCGTGATCTGCTCGCCTTGTCCTCCCAAAGTGCTGGGATTACAGGCGTGAGCCACTGTGCCCGGCCCCCAGTGATGTTTTAAGGAAGTTTAGGAATTTGTGTTGGGCCACATTCAAAGTCATCCAGCCCTCAGGTTGTTGCACAAGCGTGCTTTAACAAGATTCATGCTGTTGCCAAACACATATAACTGATCTCCATAGAAGTCCAGTGGTCCAGCGTCTCTTGAAAAGCCAAAAGTCCTGGCAATACCAAAACCTGTTTTTTTGTTGTTGTTGTTGTTTTTAACGTTTTTTGTTTTGGTTTTGGTTTTTTGAGACAGAATCTCGCTCTATCACCCCGGCTCAAGTGCAGCGGCCAGATTTCGGTTCACTGCAACCTCGCCTCCCGGGATCAAGCAGTTCTGCCTCAGCCTCCCGAGTAGATGGGATTACAAGTGTGCACCATCAAGCCCAGCTACTTTTTGTATTTTTAGTGGAGATGGGCTTTCACCATGTTGGCCAGGCTGGTCTCGAACTCCTGACCTCAGGTGATCCGCCTGGCCTCAGCCTCCTAAAGTGCTGGGATTACAGGCAGGAGCCACTGCACCTGGCCAAAATCTGGGTTTTGGAAGAGGAAGCAAGAAGGGGCAGATGTTGCAGCCCAGGCCAGATAGCTCCCCTCCTCTTCCTCCTCACCTCCTGGCCTCAGAGCAGTCCGGGAGGATGAGAGAGGCTCCTCTGGTGGCCAGACACCACTGGGCTTCCTGAGGTCTAGAGGTCTAGACAGCAGCGCTGTCACATTTCCAGAGAGCTGACGCCACTGGAGGAGGCCTCCCTGCAGAATCAGAAGCTGAAGGCTGCGTATGAGGCCCGAATGGCCCGGCTAGACCCCAGCCAGGCCATGCAGAAGACATCCCTGGTGAGTGGGGGCTACAGAGGGCCTGGGGGTGCGTCGGCGCGGTGTGTGGGGGGCGTCGGTCTTACTCCCTCCTTCCCCGCCCAGACCCTCTCTCTACAGCGGCAGATGATGGAGAACCTAGTGATCGCCAAAGCCCGGGAGGAGACAGCACCCTTTCTGACCACCCGAGGGGAAACTCGGTGTGGCTTTGAGCCAAGGGCAGAGAAGGGGACAGCGAGGGGGGCGGAGGTTCCAGGGTCGGGGTACAGGGCTGAGGGGCTTCCCGCTTTGCAGAGGCATGGCCTCAGGGGAAGGTCCTCACCCCCATGCCCCAGGCTCTCTGGCTCGGCCCTCCTGGCTTGAGTGCAGGCTGCCTTCTGCCCCAGAAGCCTCACCTGGGGACAGCTCCTCATTGGGGGGGGGGGGGTCCCTGTGACGTCTCGGCCTCTCGGGGTGTGGGACGGGGTTGGGAACCGAGGGCCCGCTCAGATCCGACGCTCGGCCCCTTGACTCTGCACCCAGCTCCAGAGAAAGATGGAGGAGCGCCGGCTGCGGCTCCAGGAGGCCGCCAACAGGTGGGATTCCTGCCCGCCCCTGGGGCGGCTGCGGGGAAGGCCTGGCCCGGGGACCCACCACGTGCCTTTCTCCCCAGGAGGTTTTGCAGCCAGGTCGCCTTGACCCCGGAGGAACGGGAGCAGCGGGCCCTTTACGCCGCCGTCCTGGAGTACGAGCAGGACCACGTGCGTCCCCCTCCGGCCCAGGCTTTGTAGGAGGATCCCGGCGAGGGGGCGGGGCCAGAGCCGAGCGGGAGGGCCCAGTGAGGGGGCGGGGCCAGAGTTGCGTGGGAGGGCCCAGTGAGGGGGCGGGGCCAGAGCAGAGTGGGAGGGCCCAGCGAGGGGGCGGGGCCAGAGCAGAGTGGGAGGGCCCAGCATGGGGGCGGTGTTTAGCGAGGGGGCCAGACCAGGGGTCGCGTGGGAGGGTCCCAGCGTGGGAGGTCCCAGCAAGGGAGCAGGGCCAGGTTCACTTAAGGTCTCCCTCAGGTGTGGGTGGGGGCGGGGGCGGGTCGCGGGGCGCTGGCGCTGGGTTTCCTGCACCCAGGACGGGCTCCCACAGTCTCTAGGGGTCGGCATTGGTGGGAGGTGAGGCGCGTCCGGTCGTGGCGGACCCACCGTGCTTTCCTTCAAGGCCACTTGTCCCATAGGACTGGCCGAAGCACTGGAAGGCCAAGCTCAAGAGGAGCCCGGGGGACCTGTCACTCGTGACCAGCCTGGTCTCACACCTGCTCAGGTAGCTGGGCCTTCAGGCCCCGCAGAGCCCCTGCGCACCGGCCTTGGGCGCCTCTCCCTGGTGCCAGGTCCCGGAGAGGGGCTGGACTGACCCAGGGACCCTGTGCCCCGGCCACGTGGACACCGCAGCTCCCTTTGCGCCGAGGGCGGTTCTCGGCTTCTCTAACCTCCCCAGCGCGGGCGGGGGGCAGACTTTCCAACATTCACTGTCAGGAGGTAACGCGAGTCACTTCTCTGAAACTGGGCGTAGCGCAGCGCCTGTGGATGCCACGGGGCGGCCGGGGCTGGCCGCGTTCTCACGCCCTCCTCTCCCGCAGCCTCCCCGACCACCCGATCGCGCAGCTCCTGAGGCGGCTGCAGTGCGCCGTGTACAGCGCCCTGTACCCCGCCGTGAGCAGAGCAGCCGCGCCAGCCCCGGGCTGCTGCCCCCCGACCCCCAACCCCGGAAGCCGACGGCTGCGGCCCTCGCAGAGCCTCCATTGCATGCTGTCCCCGCCCGAGCCCAGCGCGGCCCCGCGGCCCCAGGACTGCCCCCCCACGCCCCCACTCCAGCCCGGCCCCGTGGGGCCTCCCTCGCCCCTGGGGGACACCGCATCTGGATTGCCGGACAAGGACAGCTCATTCGAGGACCTGGAGCAGTTCCTGGGGACGTCTGAGCGGCAGGGCCAGGGCCGTGGGGTGCAGCCGGAGCCCCAGCTGCAGCAGCTGAAGAGCGCGGTGGAGGAGATCCACAACGCCATCGGTGAGGCCAGGCCCTCACTGGGAGAGCGGCCGCAGCTCTTCACCCCTGCTTGCTGGTCCATTTCAAGCTTGTTTGGGGAAGGGTCTGTCGATCAGAGCCTCTGATGAGACTCATGTCCACCCAGCCTATGCCTCAGCCCTTCTCATTTTGGAAATAGAGTGGTAGCGACGGGGTTTCACCATGTTGGTCAAGCTGTTCTCAAACTCATGACCTCAGGTGATCTGCCCACCTCGGCCTCCCAAAGTCCTGGGATTACAGGCGTGCCACCGCGCCCGGCCTAGAGTTTTCTAGGAACCAGTGAGGGCGGCCCGACAGCCTCCCCGGCAGTGATCTCGCTGTGCTGCCCACACACTGAGGAACTTGGCCAGGGTCCCCACCCACAGGGGTTGATTCTGAAGTCTCCCCTGGTCCCTGCGGTTTTGGGTAAAGGCCCTTTTGAGAAAGGGATCATTCTCTGGTGTTTTCTCAGGCTGCTGGCCCAACAGGGCAGCAGGCGTAGGTGACAGTTTCTGGTTCCAGACTCCCTGCCCTGGGCCAGGAGGGTCAGGGGTGGGTGCAGGAGGCTTGAAGGCGGTGGAAAGAGGACCAGACAGGGCCCTCTTCCCTCTGCTCCTGGACACTGCCAGTTGGTCTGCCTCTCAGAGAGCTTGCTTGGGCGGAAGAAGGCCCCATGGCTTAGAGCCACTTGACCCGGCAGGGGAGGAACCTATGTGGACGTGTCTGGCTCTGTTCCCAGCAGACAGGCTGCTCTCGCTGACCCTTCTGGCCTTTGAAGGCCTAAACACAGCTGCCTCCAAGGACCGCTGCCTGGCATGCATTGAGGAGCCCTTTTTCTCCCCGCTGTGGCCTCTGCTGCTGGCCCTGTACAGGTATGGGCCCAGCCGTACAACCACTCGTGTGGCCTGGTGTCTCCCAGGAGGCCTGCCCTGCTCCCTGGCACTGTCTGCTCCCCTCAATGCCCCCTAGCCTGTGGCTTTCCCTGAGGCCATCCTCAGGCGCTTCCAGTTTGCAGGTAGGACTATGGGCACCCTCCTGTGCCTGGCGTCTTGCGAACACTGGGGCTCTTTGCTTGGGATACATCGTCAGTTTTCTCCAGGCCTGAGCTCCAGCCACAGCCCTGCTTCTGTCCCCGGGGCAAGGTCCCTGGGGCAGCTTAGCCTGGTCTCTCTCTGCCCCAGGAGTGTGCACCGAGCCCGGGAGGCTGCCCTGAGCAGGAGCATGGAGCTCTACAGGAATGCACCCCCCACCGCCATTGGCATCCCCACCAAGCTTCTCCCCCAGAACCCTGAGGCCAAGGGGGCCACTGGCTACCCCTACTGCGCCGCGGCCCAGGAGCTTGGACTGCTGGTCCTGGAGAGCTGCCCCCAGAAGAAGCTGGAGTGCATAGGTCAGCAGGGGGAGGGGCAGGCTCCCATCCCAGTAGGTGACCTGGAGCCTGTGTCTTCACCACTGAGCCTCTCTTGTCACGTGCCAGTGGGGAGGGGGGAGACCAGGACAAAAGTGGAGTCTGAGCAGTGTCCCCAGGGTCACCGCAGCTCTTCCCAGTCTCAGCAGTGTCCCCAGGGTCACCCCAGCTCTTCCCAGCCCTGCACACCAGGATGTGGGCGGGTGGGTGGGGGAGGTATAAGGGGTGGCTCAGGCTGCTCCTGAAACGCTGCCTGTGGCGCAGTGCGGACCCTGCGGGTCATCTGTGTCTGCGCGGAAGACTACTGCCCCACGCCGGAGGCCACACCCCAGGCCGGGCCCCAGCCCATCGCTGCGGCTGCCATGTGAGTCCCAGGAGGGTGAGGTGTGGCCAGGGAGGAAAGGCCATAGAAAGGCAATGGTCACGGGAGGGACTGTCTTCCTGCCCCTTAGCCTCGTGCCAGCCGGCTGCACTGTACAAGCAGGAGGGGCCGTGTGGGCCCAGCCCTGGCTCCGCAGTGCAGTTTAGGGACAGCCTCACCACACCCAGGGGGCTTCCTGTGCCTCGGGACAGGAGGGCACAGAGATTGCGGCCAGAACGGCCAGGATGGCTCCACAGCTGCTGGGTTTGTGGAGTGAGAGGCCCCCGGCCCCAACCCACGGCCACTGTGCCCTCCCCACAGTGGTGCCGACGACCTGCTGCCCATCCTGTCCTTCGTGGTGCTAAGGAGCGGCCTTCCTCAGCTGGTGTCAGAGTGCGCGGCCCTGGAGGAGTTCATCCATGAGGGGTAGAGCCCGGCGGGGCAGGGCGGGGGTCTCTGTGGGAAGAGCAGGGACCGCATCCCTCAGCCTAAACGGTGGTTGTCAGTGGCATCTGGGAGGGCAGCGTGTGGCTCCGTCACAGCCACGCCTTTGGACAGCCCCTGTGGGTCTACCTGTGCAGAGTGCCTGCTGCCACATGTCCCATGCCTTCACTTAGCTCAGCCTCTCCCCAACAGCAGGAGCTGGGGGCTGCCCCAAGCAACATCTGCCTGGGGAGGGGACGGTCAGGGGATCGAGGGGCATCCCTGGCTCTGCCGTCCAAGGACAAGCACAGAGTGGCTGGGAAAGGCCCCCTCTAGCCCAGCCGCCCTGACAGCCCCACCTGCGCACCCTCAGCACCCAGATCCTGAACTGGGAGGGCAGACACTGCCGTCTGGAGGGCCGGGGGTGTCCCTCTGTTCCTCCAGATGACACCGGCTGCCCCTGCCATCCGTGCAGGTACCTAATCGGAGAGGAGGGCTACTGCCTGACATCACTGCAGAGTGCCCTGAGCTACGTGGAGCTGCTGCCCCAGGGAGGCCTGGCCAAGTAGTAGAGCCAGACCCCAGGGCCCCTACAGGGCCCGGCCTCACCTCCCAGGGCCATCTCTCCTGCACCTAGAGCCACGGGGTCTACTGAGGACCATCCTGGAGCCTCACGCTGCTCTGCACACGGCAGGGGCTTGTCCACTGTGGTGTACTCTCCAGCTCTTGCCCCTTCCCCACCTCACATCTAACCCTGGAGCTTGGGGTTGGCACCTCTGCCCCAATAGAGTGGGGCTGAATTAGCTCCAGGAGGAACCTGCTCACCTGTGCAGGCCTCAGAGAGGCTCCGAGAAGGGAAGCTGCGGGCTCCGGTGGGTGCCGGCTCAGCGATGAGCATCTGGCTGGGTTTGCTCAGCGCCTCACTGGGGCAGCTCCTGGGGAGCGTCAGGGAAGAAGGGTCCCTGAGCCAGCCAGCGGTGGAGACGGCAGTCCAGTTTCTGCCCCCTGTGACCCCTAGAAGGGGAGTTGTAGCCCCATGAACTAGTTTCTTGTCTGGATCAGGAACAAGGGCCGGCTGGTGCCTGGGGTGCACCTGGTGGGAGGCTGTGCTGTTTGCTGATGGGCAGGGACATCCCTGCGGGGTCCAGGGCTCTGAGCCCAGGACATTCCCTGCCCCTTGCTCACCTTGTCTGTGGGCCGTGAACATTCCGGGACCCTGGGCATCTTCTCCAGGTCCGTGCAGCCCAAGGGTCAGCCCTCTAACTGTCACATGCTGCCCCCACCCAGCCTGAAATAAAGAGGTCACTGCTGTGCTTTGCCGTGTGGCTCCCTGAATCCCCACCCCACTGGCCAGGCAGCACAACCACCCCTGCTGCCCACGGCAGAGGCGGCTGAGGATGTGGGGGAAGGAGCCACAGCCCAGCCCCAAACCAAGCCTGGCCCCACCTCTTGAGCATCTGTCAGCCTCCAAGACCCTCTGGATAGAAGCAGGATCCTCTTGGGGCTGTTCCTGGCCAGGCAGGTGTGGGCTTCACCCTCTTGGACAGGAGAGCTCCGCAGGGCATCAGTGGGTGGGAAGGAGGGAGGTGAGGCTGGGGTCCTAGGTCATCACTGGGGACCTAAGCCCAGAGCAGTCACCCGAGGGTCTTGGGAATCATCACCGTTCTGTGCATGGGGACACAAATGCTCTGAGGTGCAGAGAAGGCCGCCGTGGACAGCATCTGCCAGGGGGGTGTGGGCAGATGAGGATGTAGTGTTCCTCAAGAAAGGCACCGCCAGCAGCTTGAGATGACATGAGGAGGCAGGTGGCAGGGCTGGTGGGGTGGAGGTCCCAGCCCTCGATGCTACCAGGAGCTGGCTGTGGGGCAGTGTCGCTGTCCTCGGAAACAGTCTTAAAAGCAGTAGCTGTGGACGTCGCTGAGATGCTCTGTGCTTGCACCCTCAGGAGTGGCTGGTTTACCCCCGAGGACCCTGTGGGGAGACAGAAGAAGTGTCTCTGGGTGGGGGCAGAGCTGGAGCATCTGCCCCAGCCCTCGATGTGAACCCCAGCTGGCCATGGTGCCTTGGAGCTTGGGTAGGGTCCCTGCTCTGGCCTCAGTGTTGGGTGTCTAGAAGATGGGATTTTAAAGCCTGCTTCATGGAATGGTGGAGATGAGCTGTGTCTTGAACAAATCCTGGCGTGGGAGCACCTGCTGGTTTGGCATCGGACCACACCTGCAGCCTGAGCACTTTGGGGGCCGGGAACGTCCCGGCTCGGCTGTCTCCCTGGCACTGAGAGCCGGCACTCTGGGGGCCGGGAACGTCCCGGCTCGGCTGTCTCCCTGGCACTGAGAGCCCGCAGACGTGTTCAGGTGCTGCTGCTTGCTGTGCAACTTTGCCCTCTCTGAGCTTGCGGCTCCCCCATAAGACAGGAATTAGTAATATAATTCCTTTTAGAAATCCTACAAATAAAGAAAAAACTAAGAGCCCCAATTAGAAAAACAGCAGAAGCTGGCCAGGCATCGTAGCTCACACTTGTAATCCCAGCACTTTGGGAGGCCAAGGTGGGCGGATCACGAGGTCAGGAGATCGAGACCATCCTGGCTAACAAGGTAAAACCATGTCTCTACTGAAAATAAAAAATCAGCGGGTCATGGTGGCAGGCGCCTGTAGTCCCAGCTACAGCTACTCGGGAGGCTGAGGCAGGAGAATGGTGTGAACCCGGGAGGCGGAGCTTGCAGTGAGCCAAGATCGCGCCTGCACTCCAGCCTGGGCGACAGAATCATGTCTCCCTAAATTCCAGTGTTGAGATCTGAACCCCCAGGACCTCAATGGGACTGTGTTTGGAGACAGGCTGTCTACAGAGGTGATGATGTTAAAGTAGGTCACCAGGGTACCTGCTGTCTGTAGTTGGTGCCAACTGTCGGCTGGGACCTCAGGGCTGTCAGAACAACGACCTGAGGACTGGATGGGTCTCCAGCGGCTGCCGAAACGACCACAAAATGGGTGCCTTACAACAGCAGAAATGTTCTCTCTCACCATTTTACAGGCCTGAAGTCAAAATCAAGCTGTCAGCAGGGCTGACTCCCTCTGGAGGCTTTAGGGTAGAATTCCTTTTGCCTCCAGCTTCTGCTGGCTCTAACACAGCTTGTGTTACCTTAGCTCACGCTCCCTCGTCCCACTCTGCCTCTGTCTTTAGGTGGTCTTCTCTCCAGTGCGTTCATATCTAAGTTTCCCTCTTCTCATAAGGACACCAGTCATATTGGATTTAGAGGCCATGCCAACCCAGAACAACCTCATCTTATCTTGATTCTGTCTGGAAAAACTATTCCAAAAAAGTCCCAGGAATAGGCTCCAGGTGAATGTGAATTTGCAGGTAGAAGTTTGCAGCCCAAAACCTCCGCACACGGCTGTGGCCTTCTCACTCTCGTGGCTGGGTTCTGAGGGTATGTGTTAGTCTGTCCTTATGCTGCTGTAAACAGCTGCCTGAGGCTGGGTAATTTATAAAGAAAAAAGGTTTAATTGACTCACAGTTCCGCACGGCTGGGGAGGCCTCAGAAAACTCACCATCATGGCAGGAGACGTCTCCTCACAGAGCGACGGGAGAGACGACGAGTGCCAAGCATAGGGGAGAACCCCTCATAAAACCATCAGATCTCGTTCCTTTCACTATCACGAGAACAGCATGGAGGAAGCTGCCCCCATGATTTAATTATCTCCACCTGGTCCTGCCCGTGACTTGTGGGATTACAATTCAAGATGACATTTTGGGTGTGGACACAGCCAAACCGTATCAGAGGCTAAGTATCTCAGCACAAGGCCGGGGTGTGACGTGTTTATGATCTAGCCTTGTATTCACTCCAGCTCTATTCTATGGGTTGAGGCAGGTGCAAAAACCGGCCCAGGCCCATGGGAGGAGAGCTAGGCCCACTGCTGATGGATGGGCTGGTGCCACCAAATTCAGGGAGGACGAAGGCAGAGCAGTTACCTCCACCCTCCTCCGCATCAGAAGAAGAATAAAATAAAGGAGTTGAGGCTTACGAAGTTAGCTGCCCCGAGAACTGGTGTGGACTCATGGTGGCACTGGACACCAAGGCTGGGTTCAGTAAACTGTAAGTAAAAGAACTCCCTGTCCAGAGGTGGCCACCTACATAGGGAGATCCACCGATTCCATTACAATTTTTTTTTTTTTTTTTTTTTTTACAGACGGAGTCTCCTTCTGTCGCCCAGGCTGGAGTGTAGTGGCACGATCTTGGCTCACTACAACCACAACCTCCTCCTCCCAGGTTCAAGTAATTCTCCTGCCTCAGCCTCCCAAGTAGCTGGGATAACAGACATGAGCCACCACGCCTGGCTAATTTTTGTATTTTTAATAGAGACGGGGTTTTGCCATGTTGGCCAGGCTGGTCTCGAACTCCCGACCTCAGGTGATCTGCCTGCCTCGGCCTCTCAAAGTGCTGAGATTACAGGCATGAGCCACCGCGCCACGATCACAATATTTCTAAGATGCCAGCAGGGAACTAACTGCCAAATAAAAATTCTAAGAAACAGCGGGTACCTCGCCGCCCAGGCCCAGAGAAAGTTTCAACAAACTTGGGCCTTGGTTTTGGTGGCCTGGAGAGGTGAGGGACACAGACGTGAAGGAGCAGAGCCTGTCCAAAGCGGGGGTGTGGGGTGGGGGGGTCTCGGCTGGGACCTCCAAGGGTCTCCCTCATCCTCCTCTACTTCTGGGCAATGCGAGAAAGTGCCTTTAGCACAGAACAGAGGAACCCGAGCGAAGAAAACGTCCCCGGGAAGTCGTGGCCCAGATTTAGCCTGGATGGATCCGGGGCCCAGGTCAGCTTTTAGCTTAGAGAGGGGGCGGCTTCGCCCTGCCTCAGAGACCCGCCCAGACGATGCTCTCAAGGGCGGCAGATGGCAAGTGCAGGAGGAGGCCGGGAAGCGGAGCCAGCAGAAATAGAATCTGAGGTCCCCGCACCCACCTGAGGCTGCTGTTTCAGACGAGGCTGAAAGGCTTGTCCTTGCGCCCACCTTCCGCGCCGCGGGCCCCTCCCGCAAGGGGATGGCCCCGCCCGACAGGGGAGGCCCGCCCCCGGGTCCGGCCAATCCCCGCCAGGTAGTGCAGGTGGCCCCGCCCCACAGGACGGCTCTTCCCAGGATCCAGCCAATCCCCGTCAGGTAATGCCCGCGGCCCCGCCCCACAGGGGACGAGCCCGCGCACCTGCTTCCTCGCGGCCGAGGCGCCCGGGGCTGGGTCCCCGTCTCGTGGGGAGGAGCGGCCCAGGCACAACGTTCACTGAGCGCCTGCCATCAGCCCGCAGCCCTCGACCCAGGGGCGTCGTGAACGATATCGGTCCCGTAAGGGGACGGGCGACGCGGTGACAGGAGGCTCTCGGGGTGCCTCGCGCAGGTGCTCGGCCGGGCGGGACACCTCCTCCCTTGCTTCCACCAGGCCCCGCCCAGGCGCACAGGCCCCGCCCCTCCTAAATTAGCCAGAGGCGGGGCCTGTGCCAAGCCCCGCCCCTAGCGTCACGGCCGCGGATCCCGGGCGGAGCAGGCTCCCGGCGGAAGCGCGCGGCGCGCGGGGAGGCCCGAACTGAGCGGCGGCGGCTGGAGAGCGCTGGGGACAGACAGGTAGCGCCGTCACCCGCGGGGTCCGCAGCTCTGTCTGCCGGGCGAAGGGACTCTGGTCGGGAGAGGGCTCAACGGGCGGAAGCGCGTGTCTGGAGAAGGGTGCGGTCGATAACCGGGGGCGCCCCTGGAAGGCCGAGGTACCCAGGCTGGAGGGAGGGGCTGGAGGTGCGGGGGCGCCCGGCTGGAGGGACCTGGATCGCTGGGTGGGCGGACAGGTGATGGGGCCGAGGTCTCCAGGGTAGGGGGTGCCGAAGGTACCGGGGGCGCCCAGCCGGTGGGGGCGGGGTCTCCAGGCTCGAGGGGTCCTGGGGACGCTGGGTGGGGGCTCGGGGAGACAGCGGCTGGCGGGGCGCGGCCGTAGGTCCCTGACCCCCGCCCCCCGCAGGATGGGCAGCAGCTCGCTGTCCGAGGACTACCGCCTGTGCCTGGAGCGCGAGCTGCGACGGGGCCGCGCGGGCGTGTGCGGGGACCCCTCGCTGCGCGCGGTGCTCTGGCAGATCCTGGTGGAGGACTTCGACCTGCACGGGGCGCTGCAGGACGACGCGCTGGCGCTGCTCACCGACGGGCTGTGGGGCCGCGCCGACCTGGCGCCCGCGCTACGCGGCCTGGCCCGCGCCTTCGAGCTGCTGGAACTCGCCGCGGTGCACCTGTACCTGCTGCCCTGGAGGAAGGAGTTCACCACCATCAAGGTAGGCGCCAGG